TTGCTCATGAATTCCAGGCAATGCCCAGCTAATGTCAAGATGCTGCATGACACCTCTCCAGAACCTGCACATATCCCTTTCAATCCAAGTCTTCTGGGACCACCCTCATTCAACCTTGGCCCAAGGTTCCATCACCACCCACTTTAGAAGCTATTATGCTTCCAAGGACTTAACCAAATACTAACTACAAGAATCACAGGCTTTTCTTTGAGGTGTCCGCACAGCTCCCTGTCATGCCTGAAGAAGCCATGAGAAACACTGCCCCTACTCTCTTCTCTAACTTTTTTCTTTATACATATATAAAAAGATGGGAATGTCAGGCCTCCAAGTGCAAGCCTTGATGACCCACATATATACCACCGGATGGTCCTCAGGAGCCAGAAAGTCTGAGGTAATGACAAGTAACCAGGTGCTACAGAAAGAAGTGAAACAACTTGTTCCTGCCTCAACTAATTGCTGTCCCCTGCAACCTGCAACCATTAGTCCTGCTCAGCCTTGCAGAATTTCTCCCCTGGACACTGGGTTTCTCAGGACCCCCACCTCTATAACTATGTAATTTACCACACCCTCCCCTCTGCTTGCAACCAATAACCCCCACCCTTATGATCATGCCTGTTTATAATAAATGACCCCTACCCTTGTGACCGTGCATCCTGTGATGCTCTTCCCCTCCCCAAGATAGATTACCGACCCCTACCCTGTGACCATGCATCCCATGATGCCCTTCCCCTCCCTAAAATAGATCAGCACCTTTAACTGACCACTTGCCCCAACCTAGAAAACCCACTTCTATCCCACCGCCCTCCGCTGACTCTATTTTCAGACTCAGCTCACACACCTGGGTGAATAGACAGCCCTATTTCTCACGCAAAGACTGCCTGGTGGTCTCTTTATGCGAGTGACACACCTCACATTGACAATATAAAAGCTGAAAATTTTGAAAGTCAGAAAACATCACCCCACATATTTTTTACCAGTAGGAACAAGGGGCTGGGGAAGAGAGAACTTTTACTTTGTATTATGTATGCTTCTGTATTATTTAATTTATTCAGTGACTATGCATCTTTTAAAGTAAAAAATACATACAATAATACATGTTATAAACAATTAAAAGTAAATGCACTGATTATTTGACACAAATATGACAAGAGACTTAATATACAGAAGCTCATACAGATCAAAAAGAAAAACATTAAGATCAATAAAATAAAAATGGGTAAGAAAACAATTTATACTTTGAAATGCATAAGTTTTTAAATTTAAAACTTGGGTAAGGATGTTAACAAAATGTTGAAAACAGTACAAACATGTAGTAAACAAATAAAAAAAAGTCTCAGTCAAATAAGTATAAACTAAAAGTGAGATATCTAGTGACAAGTTTAAACTAGTGAAAGAAAAGAGAGAAGAAAAGTGAAATATCACTTTTTGCCTATTAGAATAGCAAGACTATTTTTTAAATTTTATAAATCTAATATTTTATCCATAGTTTGTGGGAGTATGTAATTTATTTGGTAAGAAATTTGGCAATGCCAGATATCTGAAAGATTCACAGTTTTCATTAGTGATTCTATTTCTAGGAATATATTATAAGGTAATAATCAGAGATACCAACAAAAATTTAACCATAATCATAACAGTAAGAAATAAATATTTGGTCTCTACCCCTGGTTCCTAACCCAGAGCTCTTAAAAGCCTTATAATTTCCTGACTGGTAGGGGTGAGAGAAGCATCTTTTGTTATAAATTTGTTATATTTGTTCTTTGACCTTCATCTATATCCTTTATAATAAACAAGTAAATATATGTAAGTGTTTCCCTAAGATGTGGGAGCCATCATAGCAAACTATCAAACCTGAGGAGGAAGGTCCTGAAAACCCTTGATTTGGAGCTAAGTCAAACAAAAGCATGGGTAACCTGAAGACTCACTAATTGCTACTGGTGTCTAACTGTGTAGTCTTAAAAATGCTTGGTGTAGAAAAGCTATACATTTAGTGTCAGAAGTGTGGCATAAGTATAGAAAAATAGATTATTTTTCCTTTTTAATAGTGGCTCATCTGAAAATTATTTAATTGTGGAAAGTATAAGGACTGAATAAGGGCGTAGTTAATGTGTTACATCTATCAATAAGATGAATATATTGCTGTAATTAAAAATGTTTATGAAGGTTCAATATAATAAAAATACCAGTCTTCCATACATTAGGTATAAATTTAACATAGTTCCAATAAAAATACCTTTAGAATTCTTTTAATTGAAAAACTGATCCTAAAAGTCGAATGGGAAAATAAACAAGAATGGCCAGGAAGACCAGGGGAGAGAAAAAGAGTAATGAGGAAGGACCAGCCCTACCAGATATCTATGAAAATGTCTTGTAAAGCTGCAATAGTTAAAAGAGCTTACTACTAGAACATTAATAGACAAATGAAACACTATAGACACAAAATATATACATGAGTTTATTCTGTGAAAAAGGAAGCATCTCACATCAAAGAAGGAAAAGATGGACTACTGAGTAAATGATAGTAAGACAACTACTAGACATAAAGAAAAAAGTTGGATCCATACCTTCCTAATATTTACTGCTTCAAAAAAAAAAAGAAATGTAAAAAAGTGAAATCTATAAGTACTACAAGAGAAAGCAGAAGGACTAGAAGAAAGCAAGGGATAATAATAAGTATTATTATTTTTGGGGGTGGAGTCTCACTATGTCGCCCAGGCTGGAGTGCAGTGATGTGATCTCGGCTCACTGAAACCTCCATCTCCCAGGTTTAGGTGATTCTCCTGCCTCAGCCTCCCAAGCAGTAGCTTGGACTACAGGTGTGAGCCACCACACCCGGCTAATTTTTTTTGTATTTTTAGTAGAGATGGGGTTTCACTGTGTTAGCAAGGATGGTCTCAATCTCCTGACTTTGTGATACGTCTGCCTCGGCCTCCCAAAGTGCTGCAATTACAAGCGTGAGCTGCCACTCCTGGCCCTGGGATAATTATTCTTTTAATACATTTAAAATGGGGAAGGTCTTTCTAAAGACTGTGCAAAATCCAGAAACCATAAAAGTAAATATTGTAAATTTAACTACATAAAAATATATTGCAAAATTTCTGCATGGCAAAGATTCCAAAAGCAAAGACAAAACCAAACTGGGGATATTACAGACGAAGGACTAATCTCCCTCATATGTCATGGCAGCTGTGTTCCCACAGAGTAAGTGATGAGAGAGAGAGAGAGCCCAAGATGAAATATGGAAGGTGCAAACCTTTTATAACATAATCTCAGGAATGACACTGAGTTTTTCTTTCAAATTTTTCTGATTTGTTTCCCCGTGGTATGATTTATCTTGATTCTTGCCTTTGTTTTTCTTATAAATTTTAAAAGCAGATTTAGAAGCTTAATTAACTTTATGTTAAGCCTTTTTGCCAAGAATATTTCATATATAGTATGTTGAATTTTATGTCTCCTTTTATTAGTGAAGCAGCTTTCCCAGAAGCAAGACAGTGGACTTGTTCTCAAATCTAATTGGCCAGATCAGGGAAATATGCACTGTCCTGGACCAATCACTGGTGATGAAAGGGTAACACCCGCCACTGGGGTTCTACTACACAGGATGAAGAGCGGTAATCTCAGGGTGTAAAAACCAAAGCTGGGTGAATTGGTTAGAGTTCTTAGGTCCAGAGGACAAGGTACTCTCCCTGGCGTTTAAACAGAAACAACAACTTGGAGTCACAAAGGTAAGTGGCCAGAGTTGAGGCAGAAAGGTAAATAGAGGCCACAGCATGGAGGGACCATATACAATACACAGTAAATACTGCCAAGTAGGAAAAGATCGTGATCAGATGGACATTTTAGAGACAACCAGTCTGGCCACAGCATGAAAAGTTTAGGCAAATCTGGAGGCAAGAGGTGTCACTGGGATTCAAGTGTAGGCTGCAACTGGCTGGGATCAGATAGTTGGTAGCAGCTAGACCCAACTCTAATATTTGAGGGGCCTGGGTAAGAGTACCAAAGGAGGCCAACATACCATGTGAACAAGTATTCAAAAGTTATAAATCAAGCTAGTAAACTGTCAAAAACTCTGTCTTCCTGCCTTGATAAATACATCTTCCTAAGGACCTGAAAGGTGAGGTTTACATTGAGAATTTTGACTCCTTGGAGTTCCATGCTGGACCTTGGAGGCCCAGAAGAGCAGGCTCTGGCCTATGGCCTTCCCCGCTTCCCTTCCCTGTCCAAATAAGATTGTGGAATAACACAGATACTTTGAAGGTTTGAATGTTACCCGACTACTTACTATTTATGTGAACCGAGGCACTTCAGCTTCTACAATTTTCAAGTGACAGCCATTAGGGGTAAAGTAGGAAACAAAATAAAGGCTCTGCCCTTATGGGACCTAGAGGATAGTGGGAGAAAAAAATCAGTAAGCAGGCGAGCTACAGGTAGTGGTTGCTAATAGCCTACTGTGCGGCTTCTCTCAGAGATGTTTGGGCTTTTCCCCGGGAGGTGTTAGGTGGCTAGTGGTTCCCAAACAGGGCGACATTGCCAGAGGTCTTTGGGTGTGTGTGGGCGTTTGGTGGTCACCAGGCCTGGGCATTCACGTATGGCAAACTTCCAGCAACGTGTGGGAACAGTGCTGTTGCGCCCAAAGTGCCAAGGGCGCCTCTGTTGAGAAATAGTGTGAGGTGTTCTGTCTTCATGGGGGATTTGGGGTGTAGGGGTGGCGGGGCGTAATTTTGGCAGTTACTTCTTTTACCAGTGGCACCCGTCACTTCTTGTAGGTGCTCTGAGGTCACCTGTAGATGCAAGTTGGGGAAGGAGAAGAGCCCAGGAGGGTTCGGACATACTTGGGCGGGTCGTTCCTGGAACCCAGGCCGAAGAGCCGCGGCGGCGGCCCAGATGCAGAGGACGACAGCGACACCTGGCTCTTCTCCGAGCTGCGTCCGGAGGCGGCCTTCCAGCGACTCAAAGGCGGGCAGGGGACCTGCAGGGGCGTGGCGGGGCGTGGCTGCGCGCCGAAGGCGTGGGGTTGAAGGGCAAGAAGTGCCGGCATCATGGCGGCCTCCGCGCAAGGCTTGGCTTGCGGGCAGTTGCGGCTCGGCACCGCCGGCTTGTGCTGCGGCCGTCAGTCTCGGGGTCTGTACGCTCGCGTGCGGCGGCTGCCCGGGCCTGAGGTGTCTGGGCGGAGCGTGGCCGCGGCCAGCGGACCGGGCGCCTGGGGCACTGACAGCTACTGCCTGGAGCTGCTGCGGTGAGCGAGCGCGACCTTCCCTGGAGGGAGGTCCGGAAGCGAAGTCCGGGGGTGGGAGCAGCTGCGCCTGACGTTTGAGCCAGCGGACCTGCGCCTTCCTCGTGCCCCCCTGGGTGTGCGTTCTAGTGGGCGCCGGGTGCGGGTGTATGGAGGCAGCGAGCCCACAGGAACATTCACGTGGGTCACAAAATTATGACAAAATTCCTTCGAATGCCCACGCTTATCGTCTTATCTGAACCCTAATTTTAACAGAAGTCAGCGTTTTTGCATGAATAATCTTATTAGTAGAACATTTATTAATTTTAATGACCACGGTAGCCAACTTTGAGTTCTTTCTGTGTGCCCGGCATTATGCAAAGTAGATTATGAGTAATTAGTCTTCAAGTTGCAAATGTTGACCTATCATTTAGGGTTGTAATAAAGGAGCATTAGAACAATGTCTGGCATAAAGGCACAGTGAGTGGAAGTCATTATTATCTCATTTAACATGCAAGGAAACGAGGTTTTATGGTGATTAGAGAATTTGCCAGAGGTTTACAACAATAACCTCATAAAGTCAAGGCCCTAAAGTGTTTTGTTTGTTTGGCTCTCCAACGCTGGGAAGGCCTGGCACTTGGGAGTTGCTCCTTAATCGTTTGTGGAGGTGGGTTGGATCAGTCAGATCACCTGGCTCTTGCGGCAGGGGTCCCTGGGAATCCAGGCCTGACTGCTGAAACCAGTGGTTTAGCCCCTCTCCCCTTCTGCTGCGTGTCATTTGAAACAGTGGGGTAAGATCTCGAAGTACTTGGTCTCAATGACTTACCAAAAGTACTCGAATAACTGAACTAACTTGAAGTTGATTATGCAAGTAAAACCTTTTTTTAAAATTCCATTTTAGAGAAAGGTAGCATAACACAACAAAATATATGCATTTCAGTGTTTTGTTTATAATCACTTTTTAAAAATTGTGGGCCGGGCGCAGTGGCTCACGTCTGTAATCCCAGCACTTTAGGAGGCTGAGACCGGCGGATTGGATTGGTTGAGCCCAGGTGTCGGAGACCAGCCTGGCCAACATGGCGAAACCCCATCCCTGCAAAAAAAAATACAAAAATTGGCTGGGTTTTGTGTCGCACGCTTGTGGTCCCAGCTGCGTAGGAGGTGGAGGTGGGAGGATCACTTCATGCTGGGAGGCGGAGGTTGCAGTGAGCCAAGATGGCTCTACTGCACTCTAGCCTGGGCAACAGTCTCAAAAAAAAAAAAAAAAAAAAAGCAAAATATTATTAAAGCAAAAATAAGCAAAATATTATATTTCTTCCCTATCTTATTTGTTGATTACTTTTAATAGAAACAAGATAGCATAGTGGAAAAACGATGTTAAGAATTGTAAAAGCCAAAATTGTTAAAAGATTGCATATTTTTACATATTTAAGTTGTTACATTTTGAGGTTAAAAAGTTTAAGTTGCCAGAGTAAACCACCCAATAGCCACTAGTGTCATAACTTTCCAGCGGTAATCATTCTTACAAATTTCTTATCTATTCTTCCAGGGATAGTCTGTGGATTTACAAATATTTAAGGCTGGAGGGATGGCTCACACCTGTAATCAGTCCTTTGGGAAGCCTGGGCAGAAGCGTTGCTTGAGCCCAGGAGACCAGCCTGAGCAACATAGTGGAACCCTGTTGCTACAAAAAGTAAAAAAAAAAAGGATTAGCTGGGCTTGGTGGCACAACCTGTCGTCCCAGCTACTGGAAGGCTGAGGCAGGAGGATCACTTCCAGGAGGTTAAGACTGCTGTGAGCTGAGTTTGCTTCATTACATTCCCATCTGGGCAACAAAGTGAGACCCTGTTCAAAACAAACAAAAATATTTAAATATATTATTAGTTATTTTTGACTTCAGTCCTGTGCTAGCTTTTCTCAAGTATATATACTGTATCTACAAATGGTCAGGTACTTAACTTGTCCATGTTATTTGTGTGGAATGGGGTCTCTTGACCCTAGTGACTTGTTTCAAAGGCTGAATTTTGCAGGCAGACCTGATTTGAGAGTATTAATCCCAGCTCCAGCACTTGGGAAAGTTACTCTACGGTTCCATTTTGGCTGGGCACAATGGCTCACACCTGTAACCTTAGCATTTGCTAAGCTTTCCAGACCAGCCTCAGCAACATAGTGGGACCCCTTCTCTACAAAAAATAAAATTAGCTGGGCATGGTAGTATGCACCTGTAGTCTCAGCTACTCAGGAGGCTGAGAGGGGAGGATCACTTGAACAGGGAGGTTGAGGCTACAGTGAGCCAAAATCTTGAGACTGCACTCCAGCTTGGGTGACAGAATGAGACTCTGTCTCCAAAAATAAATAAATAAATAGATAAATAAATTTAGTTTTTTCCTCATTTGTAAATGTTTTATGGCCTGGTTGTGAGGATTAAATGTGATGATATACTAAAAAATGCTTAGCAGAGTTCAGATACTTAACAAATAATAAGTTTAAAAAATGCAAACAAACTTGAAATCGAATTTTTGGCTTTAATTGCCCATCAATAATCTGCAAGATTTGGCCTCTGAAATTATTTGAGCAGGACTGTTTTGGATGTGCATTTTATACAAGGCCTCCAAATATCAGGAAAAATACCAGGCCATAACTTCAGGCTCGCCATCTTGGGCTCTCCTAGTAATTTAGGTTCCTGGGAAAATCTAAAGCCTGATTTACATAGGCTTCTCTGACTTTGGCTTTGAGGAGGCTAAACAGAGAACCTCAGGCTGTAGTGAGAAAGTGAGGAGGTATTACTGGTGGTGTTGGAGTGCATGAATGTTCTTTACTCTCCTGCAGCTTCACCAGGGCATCACTTTCTCTGTGCCTCAATGGCACAGTCCAGGGTACGAACGCACAACAATCCTAATACCCCATGTGCTTGTTTCTCATATGTCTGTCTGGGTCTCAACTAAATTGAAGTCAGTGCCTATCTCCAATGTCTGGCACAGTGCCTGGCACATAGTAGGCACTGCATAAATATTAGAATGAATGAGAGGTTATTGGCCCTATTGCCATATAAAGTTGAATTTATACATCCTTAATATGGCATTTCTTGTTATCTAGGACACCTCTCAGGTAACTGAATCTTGGTTAGATGCTTAGGACATCCTTATATATCCGTAGTTCAATAATTCCTATTTAAAACAATGATCCTAAGTGATGAAGAAATGGCTAAATAATCAATATATCCTGTTTAATGTGGTGAAGGGGGTAATATTGTTTAGAAAAATTTCCATCCAAAATTTAAAACTAAATTTGTTAATAGGGCAAATCTTTAGCTGTGTAGAAGACTTTATTCTCCAAATGTTGTTACAGTTCTATCTCTTCATTTCATTTTTCATTTCCCTCTAAGAGGCCTGAAGTACTCCACATATTGCTTATTTTTAGGAGATAACCTTGATAGGTTATCAAGCTTTATTTGCAAATTGGGAAATAGGCATGATTGGTGTCATTTCTATTAATAACCAGTGGGTGATGGAAGTTAAGATTGTAGTTTGATTCCCATTCAGTGTTTTTCTCACTGTTTCATGTTAACTTCAAGTGTTTTAAACACTTCTGAAATTTGGAGACTTTTTTTTAATTTTAAGATGGAGTTTCACTCTTGTTGCCTAGGCTGGTGTGCAATGGCGTGATCTCGGCTTACTGCAACCTTTGCCTCCCAGGTTCAAGCGATTCTCCTGCCTCAGCCTCCCAAGTAGCTGGGATTATAGGCATGTGGTACCATGCCTGGCTAATTTTTATATTTTTAGTAGAGACAGGGTTTCACCATGTTGATTAGGCTGGATGGTTTTGAACTCCTGACCTCGGGTGAGCTAATACAGAACTCACTTATTTCCAAGGGCATGCACCAAGCCGTTTGTGAGGGATCCACCCCCATGACCCAGATACCTCCCACTAGGCTCCACCTCCAACATTGTGGGCGTCACATTTCAATATGAGATTTGGAGGAGACAAACATCCAAATATCAGAGCCCTAGTTTCTTTCAGTGGAGAATGGTTTTCAGAAACCAAGATCTGGGTGCTAGGTGTGTTCATCAATACCAGGAATGTGGTGTGGGGCCTGGGGGTATTGTTACTTCTAGGCTCTTTCAGCAGATGCTGCAAGGAAATATATGTCTGTGCACAGTCCGACATGAGTTTTGATATCTTATCTTTGCCTTTCTATGTATCTATGTCTATCTATGTCTTAAAAAACCACAAATTCACCCCAGTATTTACTCGAACTATTTTAACTTGATTTGTACTTTTGAAGCTCATTTGGAATTCTTACTAAAACAAAAGTGATTCTAAGTTAAAATGGTAAGTACTATATAAGTCAAAACAAATTGATAGAGATTAGGTGGCATTGGGGTACATTTTTCATAATTTTTGAGAGACAGATATGCAAAAGAAGACATGTCAGACCTTTTCTGAACTAAGCCTCATGTTGTTGTTTTTTGAGACAATCTTGCTCTGTCACCACCCAGGCTGGAGGGCAGTGGCACAATCTGGGCTCACTGCAACCTCTGCCTCCTGGGATCAAGCAATTCTTGGGCCTCAGCCTCTCAAATAGCTGAGGTTACAGGCACGTGCCACCATGCCCAGTTAATTTTTGTATTTTTAGTAGAGACAGGGTTTCACCATGTTGGCCAGGCTGGTCTTGAACTCCTTGATCCACCCGCCTTGGCCTCCCAAAGTGCTGGTATTACAGGCGTGAGCCACTGTGCCCGACCTGAAGCCTTTTTGTTTTCAGTTAATTTTGGTCAGTATTTTTACGTGCAGCTTGGAAAGTGAGGAATAACTGTTTTTTTTTTTTTTCTGTCTGTTACAGGAAACGGGACTATGAAGGTTATTTATGCTCCCTGCTGCTCCCTGCAGAATCCCGAAGCTCTGCTTTTGCACTGAGGGCCTTTAATGTGGAACTGGCTCAGGCTGGTATTAAGATCCCTTAAAATATTATTTGTGAAATGGCGATGTGATATATTTAATGTCAAACAATTAAGAAATATAGTTGTAATTTATATGTTAGATATGTTTAAGGTCTCTACTAGTGATTTCTTTTCCCTGCCAATTGTTTAGGCTTAATAATTCAATACCAAAAATAAAACTAGCTAATGAACTTAATGTTTCCAGAAACGCCATTCTGGAATTTGTTATTTCTCTTCCTGAGGTTATTATAAAACTGTGCCATTAACATTGCACATTTGTCTGTTAATTAAATAGATTAGTCAGAAAATTACTGCTTATTCTTTCCAACAGTTGCATAGTTTACATGTATATAGCAGATTTTCAAAGCGCTTTTTAAATTGAGGTTTTAGCTTTAATATGAATAGGGAATGAAAGCAATTGTAGCAAACTAGGACCTTAGATCATATTAATTCACTTTTGTCTAAGAGTTCCAAAGGAAGGAGAGATCCTTCTTTTGAATGGGAAGAATATGTACAAATACAAAATAAATTGAAATGGGGGGTGGAGATGAGGGAGTGAAAAGTGAAACAGCCTTAGTCTTCTCGGTAATAAATTGAGAGGTCGGATACTGGGAGTGAGGGATCAGGAGAGCGTTCAGCGTCTTGAAGAGAGCAGCAAATTTTGACACAGCTTCTCTGGGGAATATGGTAGGAAGTGAACAAGGAACAAATAAAAGGATGTGAATATGGCACCGAGGCACAACTGAGATTCACAACCATGAATCTGCAGTGTCTAATAGACTGGCTCTTTTTTCCTCTGGTATCTTCCTGGAAGTCATGGGTCATGATTTTTCACCTCATCGTTTTTCAAGTGTAAACTCTATATCAGCATGTTAAATCAGTCACAGTTTAGCCATAAATAGTTCCTACTTTGGTCTTTGTTATCCTTTTTAAATGATTAAAATTTAATCTTTTAATTTTAAATTTTAGAGACAGGTCACTGAGGTTGGAGTGCAGTGGCATGATCATAGCTTATTGCAACCTTGAACTCCTGGGCTTTAAGTCATCCTCCCACCTCAACCTCCCAGGTAGCTGAAACTGTAGGTGTGTCACTGTGCCTAGCTAATTAAAAACACTTTTTTTTTCTTCAGAGACAGAGTCTTGCTATGTTGCCCAGGCTGGTCTCAAATTCCTGGCCTCAATCATTCTCCTGCCTCAGCCTCCCAAATGCTGGGATTACAGGCAGAAGCCACTGCACCCAGCCAATACAATTTTATTTTTAATAAATAAACTGCAGAGTTCCTTCTGAATTCTCTTCACTTTGTACCTCTTTGTACACTTTGTACTTCTTTGTATACTTTGTACATCTTGTTACTTCTTTGCACACGGAATCTTGTTTATTCATTCATTCAACAAGTATCGATTGAGTGCAGGGACTTTATATAGACTGTATTCAATGCTATACCCACAAAACATAAAACAGGGTCTGCACTCAGTGAACAAATGAAGAATTGTGTAATGTATCAGATGGAGACTAGTGCAATGGAGAGAAATAAAGCAGGATAAGGAGGCTGTGAAGGCCGGGTGCGCCTGCATTCCTATTTTATGTAGAATAGTTAGGAGAAACCTCATGGAGAAGGTGGCATTGGAGCAGAGATTTGAAGGAGGTGAGGAAATGAGTTGTACCGATATGTGGGCAAAGAGTATTCTGGGCAGAAGGAACAGCAAGTGACAAGTCTCTGAGGTGCAAGTGTGCTTAATCAAAGAACAGAAGAAGGTAGGCAGTGCAGCAGAGCAGGGAGGAGTGTCTGGGTGGAGATTTGGTTAGGGGCTCCTGGGTCAGAAAGGTCTTGGAGACACCATTACAGTCACTTTGGCTGAGTGAGATGGGCAGCCACTGGAGGATTCTGAGCAGAGAGACATCACCTCTTGCTTATATTTTGAAAGGATTACTCATGCTGCTGTCTTGCTGTACTGTATGCTACTGGGATATGAACACTAAACATTGCTAAGAAACCCACCCACCACCAGGATATTTGGAAATAATTTCACATATGGAAAAGTAAGAGTAGTACAAAGAATACTCACAGACCCTGTTGTTAGTATTCTGTCCCATTTGCATTATCATTCTGTCTGCATATGTATACATACACATTTCTCTTTTTATGAATCATTTCAGAGTAACTTGACTATACCATGACCCATATCATTATAGACTTGAGTGTGTATCTCATAAGAATAAGGACATTCTCTTATATAACCTTAGTACCCTTATGAAAAAAGAAACAACATTAATGCAGTACTTTTATTTGATCTACCATCTAGTTTCTGGTTTTGTCAAATGACCCGATAAGGTTCTTTATGGCATTATTTTCCCCTTCTGTATGGGATCTAATCTAGGATCGTGTATTGCATTTAGTTTTCTGTCTCTTTAGCCTCCTTTATTCTGGAACATTTCCATAGTCTTTCTTTGCATTTTGTGACATTGACATTTTTTAAGCAATATTGTTCCTTTTAAAAATTAGAATGGTTCTCACTTGGGATTTATTTTATATTTCATCAGAATCATATTAAACTTACAGATTCCTAGCCTAATATTACCTAAGTGGTCTGTGTCCTCTTCAGAGTTACAAGGAGGCATGAAATAGCCATCTGCCTCTCTGTGGTAATGTTAATTTTAGTCACTGAGTCAAGATGTTAATACTTTTTCCCTTGCTACTAGCCTGTGAGCAGACCTGTTAAGACCACGTTCCTTATCAAAATTTACCTCCTAGATTTAGCCTGTGTTGGTACTTCTTGCCTGAGTCTAAGAAGGCCATTTTTTTTTTTTTTGAGATGGAGTTTCACTCTTGTCACCCAGACTGCGGTGCAGTAGCACGATCTTGGCTCACTGTAACCTCTGCCTCCTGAGTTCAAGCACTTCTCCTGCCTCAGCCTCCCAAGTAGCTGGGATTACAGGTGCCCGCCACCATGCACAGCTATTCTTTTGTATTTTTAGTAGAGACAGGATTTCATCATGTTGGCCAGGCTGGTCTCAAACTCCTGACCTCACGTGATCCACCCGCCTTGGCCTCCCAAAGTGCAGGGATTATAGGCGTGAGCCACTGTGCCTGGCCAGAAGGCCATTCTTAATCAGTAGTGAGTGAGGGAGACAATGTTATAATCTTCTTTTTAAAAATTATTTAAAGAATGAATCAATGAGTCTATTTAAAAATACATGCAATAAAATTTACTCTTTGCTGTATTCTATAGTTCTAAAAAATGTAGTTACGTGTTTACCATCATAGTCATAATACAGAACAGTTACATTGACTCAAAAAATTTCCTCAAAAATACTGATTTTTTTAGATAGTAGACAATGCATTTGCTAATGTTTTAAAATCCTACTCATAGGTTAAAGACTCAATCTCTGAGAAAACAATTGGACTGATGCGAATGCAGTTTTGGAAGAAAACTGTGGAAGATATATACTGTGACAATCCACCACATCAGCCTGTGGCCATTGAACTATGGAAGGTAAAAGCAACAACAACTACTACTACTTTTAATTTGTAAGCATATTATTCGAGACTACTTTTTGATGGATACAATTTGGATGCTGGTGATTATAGTGGAATCTATCCTGAAAATATTTTTAGGCCTATATATTCAGATCTATGTTAGTTTTGACAGAGAAGTTTAAAATTACCCACTGATAATTTACACAGGTCTTTTGTGGATTTGGTTATAAAGGAAAAAGGAAGAATCCGATCGCTATATAATAACTTACTTTTGAATTATCCATATTTCCATATTTGCCTGCAGAATTTAAACCCCACACATTTTATGGAACAGCAGGTAAAATGTTCTGCTTTCTCTGCCTAGCAGGAGCTCCTTATACCGGTGTTTTAATGCAGATTCTGGGCTGTAGAACATGTGTTAATCGGTTGTGAAGGGAGACTTGCTCTCAGTGTTGTCCAGATACAAATCTAAAACTCCCTTGTCTAGGTGATAGAATTACCTATCCATTGTTGAGTTTTAGGAGTTAGAGAATGGAAACCTATGGGCTAGAGTATTATTTATATAGCTAGATGTATGTTGTAAATGGTTTTATAGTAAAGCAGCTGTATGGATCCCTCACTCATAAGCAGCCACACATGGCTTAGACATATTCTAAACTGTGAGAGGAGGAAGGGAATGAGGTACCTTTCCTCACTGATCTGTGTCCCTATTGTAATACAATGATTGCCAAAAGAGGGTTTCTGTAACAGGAGCCACCCACAGACCTGACAGTGGCACACCTCTTCTCAGGTCTACGTACCAGCAGAGGCAGGCTCACTTTCTGGGCCCCAGATTGACTTCACAGAGCCCCAGTAAAGATGGAAAGCCAGACCCCCACAACCGGGGATTGAGAAGAAAAATTGGATGGGAAGCTGTGAGTATTAGATTAGCTCTTTACCTCTGTTCATCTCACTTCAAGAAGCTCAACCTAGGTGACACACTAAAAAGTTTCCCTGGCCGGGTGCGGTGGCTCACGCCTGTAATCCCAGCATTTTGGGAGGCCTAGGAGGGTGGATCACCTGAGGTCAGGAGTTTGAGACCAGCCTGACCAACATGGAGAAACCCCATCTCTGCTACAGATGCAAAATTAGCTAGGCGTGGTGGCGCATGCCTGTAGTCCCAGCTACTTGGGAGGTTGAGGCAGGAGAATCGCTTGAACCCGGGAGGCAGAGATTGTGACAAGCCAACATCGCTCCATTGCACTCCAGCCTGGGCAATAAGAGTGAAACTCTGTCAGAAAAAAAAAAAAAGTGTCCCTAAAATCCAGAAACCCCTTCTATTTATTATTTTACATGTAAACTGGAGTATAGTGGAAGTGTATGTTAAGACTTGCATAAAAGGTTTTGGCCTTTGTTGGGAAATATGTGGAAGATCAGAGAGTCCCTTGATGCAAATTTATCTTTCCTTGGCTTCTCTTCAAAAAACAGAAGATATACCTCAATTACAGAATGTTTACATCTGTGCCAGTTTAGGATTGCTAAATTGTCCAATTTTAATAGCTGCTTGCATTTTGATGGTTAGTGTTGGCTAGCTTTCAGACATGACCAGTGTTGAAGCTTAATGTGGATATTTGACAGACACAGGTCATGTTTGGTGCAGTTGTCCTCGTTATGTGTTCTCTATCCTTCCCCATCCTCCTGGAGCATATAGGGAATATTGGGTATTTGAAGTGTTGGGTTCTTGAGAAGATTAAATAGAGGGAACAGTGACTATGTGTTATCCAGAGAGCACTTTTCTACTGCTCTGTTTCATTGGTATTTTTAAGGGTACAAGATAGTTGAATATTTATAATTTCTTATATATTCTACATGGGTTCCCCATTTCTCTGTATATGAATTGTAGCTGCAGTTTGAATTTATGTTATAGCCAAGGTCTTTATTATATTGGACTTCAGTTTCCAGAGTTCAAACGACATTCAGCAAATTTCTAACTTTCTTAAAATATTTTTTTACCTTGGTCTCTGATTTCCTTCTCAATCAGAACTGTATTTTATAATCAAGGATTGACAGCCATCATAGCTTCAGCCTTGAGTAAATAGGAGTTTGGCTTTTCATTGACTAAATACTTATTGAGTACTTTTATGTGCTAGAAATGGTGCTTGAAGGTCTACAAAATCAAAATGCCCATCTGCTCAGACATGTGTAAAATAAAACAAGAACAGGAATCCTTAATGACTTATCGGCTGATTCCTGGGATTTGGAAGAGAGGCCTATAGTGAGAGTGCTGCCATGTTGTAGTAGTAGGAGCAGGAGTAGGAATAGTGCCGAAAACACTTTGGAACTAACACCATGCAACCCTTTTAGCATCTGTTAGATTCCTGCCAGGCAAAGGGGGCTTAATTATCCATGCATCCACCTTTGTCATGTAATTCGTATTGATGAACATGCTGGCCTTTACATTTCACTATCAGTGACATCTGAGAGTCTTAGTTGAAGTATAGCATATCCCTAGATCTTATGTTTCACTACTATATTTATTTATTGTGAAAATATACTTAATTTTGATGTGGCAGACAAAAAAACATTTTAGAAACTTACTTGGAAATAATTCCAAACTTTCAGAAACGTTACAGAATTCAAAGCAGGACAAACACCTCTATACCCTTTACCCAGATTCACCAGGCTGGAGTGTGATGGTGAATGGTGCAAACATGGCTCACTGCAGCCTCAACCTCCTGAGCTCAGGTGATCCTCCTGCCTTAGCCTCCTGAGTAGCTGGGACCACAGGCGTGTGCCACCACATTTGGCTAATTAAAAATTTTTTTTTGTAGAGACGAGGTCTCACTGTGTTGCCTCACCTGGCCTCTTGGGCTCAGGCCATCCTCCCACCCTGGCCTCCCAAAGTGTTGAGATTACAGGTGTGAGCCACTGTGCCTGGTTCACCTATTGTTAATATTTTATGCCATTTGTTTAATCATTTGTCCTCACTCACATGTGTACTTTCTTTTTCTTCTCCTCTCCTCCTTCTCCTATTCCCGCATATATGTATTCACATTCATAAATTTTTTGTGTGACTCATTTGATTGTAAGTTATATACATTGTAATCCTAACCTAAAAAACTTAGTGAATGTTTTCTTTTTTTTTTGACACAGGGTCTCACTCTGTCACTCAGGCTGAAGTACAGTGGCACAGTCTTGGCTCACTGCAGCTTTGATCTCCCAGGCCTGAGTAGCTGGGACTACAGGCACATGCTACCACATGTGGCTGATTTTTAAAAAATTTTTAGTACAGATGAGGTCTCATTGTGTTGCCCAGGCTGCTTTTGAAATCCTGAGCTCAAGTGATCCACTCACTTCGAGATTATAGGCATAAGCCACCATGCCTGGCCTCAGTAAATATTTTCTTTTTTTTGAGACAGGGTGTCACTCTGTTGTCCAGGCTGAAGTGCAGTGTTGTCATCTTGGCTCACTGCAATTTCCACTCCCTGGGCTCAAGCCATCCTCCTACCTCAGCTTCCCGAGTACCTGGGATTACAGGTACCCACCAACCACACTTGGCTAATTTTTTTTGTAGAAATGGGGTTTTACTATGTTGCCCAGGCTGGTTTCAAACTCCTGAGCTCAAGCTGTCCTCCTGCCTTGTACCCCAAAGTACTGGGATTACAAGTATTAGCCACCGTGCCTGGCCTAATATTTTCCAAGAATGGTGATACTGTCTTACATAAAATCAGGACAGTTATTTTTTTTTATTTCTATTTTTTTTTTTCTAGAGACAGGAGCTTGCTGTGTTGCCCAGGCTGGAGTGCAGTGGGGTGATCATCGCTCACCGCAACCTTGAATTCCTGGGCTTTATCCTCCTGCTTCAGCCTCCTGAGTAGCTGGAACTACAAGCACACACCAGCACGCTCAGCTAATTTCTAAAGTTTTTGTAGAGATGAGGTTGCTGTGTTGCCCAGGCTGGTCTTGAACTCCTGAACTCAAGTGATCCTCCTGCCTTGGCCTCCTAAAGTGCTGGGATTACAGGTGTGAGTCACTGTGCCCGGCCAGAACAGTTATTGGCTTTAGTAAATTTAACTTTGGTAGAACAATTTCTTCTGATTTTCCATTCATATTCCAGATTTGTCAGATGATTTAATCATGTCCACGATATCATTTTTCCCTTCCAGTACAGGATCCAATCTTGGGTCAAGTACTTAATTGTCATGTCTCTGTAGTTTGTTTTAATCTGGAACATTTCCATAGCTTTTTTTTTAGCCTTTTATGACATTGACATTTTTGAAGAGTATCCCCCGCACCCTGTCTTTTTAAAATACAACACTAATTTTGGACTTGTCTGATGTTTTGCCATGATTAGATTGAGGTCACGGATTCTTAGCTGGAATCTATACTTCGTAAGTGTTATATCCTTCTCAGCATATCACATGTAGAGGCACACTTCGTCCACCTGTCCTTTATAACATGGTTAATTTCGATTTACTTAGTCACAATTTTGCCTGGTTTTCCCACTGTATAATTCTGCTTGAAATAATCAACAGTTTTTGAGGAGAGACTTTAAGACTGCAAATATCCTGCTCCTGATCAAAATTTCTCCCTAAACTTAGTAGCCATTGATGGTCTTGTCTGATTCAGTCTTTACTCTTATGGTTGTAGAATGATAACTTCTCAACTTCAGCACTTGGTCCACATATACCAGTTGGCACTTAGTGTTCTGCTCTAAGAATGAGCTCTTATTTTCATATATTTATTTGTTCATTGATTATTGGTATAGACTCATGATTTCTTGCTTTTTATAGTTTATAATTCACTCATGTACTGATTTTGGTGTTCAGGTTGTCCCAGTTTTGGACAGTGGGAACTCCTTCACACTGGCTGCTACGTCCTTGTGACATGCTTCCATCATTTTTTTGGAGCACTTTCTTATTTTCGGACACAATAAGATATTCTAGGATCCTCTTGAATCTCTGTTCTACCCCACCTTTGGAATCGCCCATTTCTCCACAGTTGATTCCTTTAAGGAGCATGGTAGTGGAGACAGGTGTCTGGGCACTAGATGTGCTCTTTCCTACTGGAGTGTCTTTGCTTGCCAAAGTAACAGTTTACCATGCAGACTCTTTTTGTTGGAGTTTTAGTCACTCTGTTTTTCGAGAAGTGGTTATTTTTTGCTAAGTGGAATCATTATCCTGTGGAAAAAAATGTGCATGTAATGAGTAAGCATAAAAATCAGGGCGGCCAGGCCAGTGGCTCATACCTGTAATCCCAGCACTTTGGGAGGCTGAGCTGGGAGGATCATTTCAACCCAGAAGTTTAAGACCAGCAACATAGTGAGACCCTCTCTCTACAGTAAAAAAAAAAAAAAAAAAAAAAAAGTCAGCGTATATCATGTGATAGAGAAGTTCAGTACTTAATGCTTAATTCTGGTTTTGTTTTTGTTTGAAAGTGGAATTGTTAAATTACTAGCAGTACAGGAAAAGAAGACAAGTTAGTAGAAAAGCCTTAGGAATATAATCTGATAAATGTTTTAAAATATTTTCTGAGGACATTTTCTTTTTTCCTGATATCTCTTTAACATAGCTGTCTATCTGGTGATGAGTTATTACAAACGTTCCCTTACTTAGTTTGTATTTGGTTCGTTTATTTTGTTCAGATCTACAGAAGTCATTTCTAGTACTTTCTAAAAATGTATAACACTGTTTGTTTTTTAGGCTGTTAAAAGACATAATCTGACTAAAAGATGGCTTATGAACATCATTGATGAAAGAGTAAGTAGAAATTGTTCAAGTCTTAAGTTTTTGCTTCCTGTTTAATCCTGAAGCTAATTGTTCAGGAAGGAAACATTTTGATTGTATATTAATATTTTGGATAAAGGAAACTTTTAGAGAACTATGCCATTTTATCCATGCTTTACCCTTGTATGCTACCCACAGCAGCCCCCAGTACCCTCACACTGAGACAGACAGGCATCCAGGCCTGTGTGTGCACAACCACAATCCGCTACGTTGGTTTTACATTTACATGTATCTGTCATCAGCTTTAGTAGTTATGAGCACACTTCCAATCTGGTTTTATCTGTATTCCGCCAACTCCCCTCACTAATCTGCACTGGATTATTTTAAAGAAAATCCCAGATATCTTATCATTTGATCTGCAAATGCATATGTATCTTAACAAGATAATGACAAAAACAAAACCATAATATAATTATCATACCTTAAAAATTACTAATTATTCCCTAACATCATCAAATACCTTTATGTATACCCCAGTACTTGGATCTGTGTCTAAACAGTAGAGGGCATAAAGAAAGTCTGACAGTTCCAGTGAATGGAATCCTGTACTAAATTCTTAGAACTGAGTTCTAGGTCCAGCTAAGTCAGTGAATTGCTGTGTGACCTGGCCTAACTTGTGTGATCTTTCTGATGTACTATTAGGTCAGTGTTCCCCTTGGCCCGATATTAATCACATACTGTTGTCATGGAAATGTAAGTTTACTTAGCTTATTTAGATACAGTTTGCTAACTATAGGCCATAGCAATAATAAGAAGTCAAAAAGAGATATTAGCTAAGAAGACCTATTTTCAGGTGTCTTTGTTTCTGTTTTTACAAAGTAAAGAAAATGAGAGAACTCAAGACAGAGATACCATTTTAGTTTAATGAAAAAAAAACATTTGGCTTTTGAAGGGGTGATATTTAAAAGTAAAGTACTGGGGTCGGACTCAAGATGGCGCTGTGAGAACAACCCAGGATTGGAGCTCTCGTTGTGTCCGCGGAGAGGTGAGTCTGAGCTGCATTTCCAGACTGATCTTTGTTGCCCACGGAATGGGGAAATTCCCAAGTGAAGAGGAGACGCGGGACGCCAGGCAGAAACTCCACCTGGCGAAGCCGGCAGCCGGGGTGGCGGCGGCCGGCCCTGCCCAGCACTCCCCACAGGGCGCGCTTGTCCGGGTGCCCTGTTGAACCGGCAACCGGAGACGTGAGAGGGCTGGACTTGAGACTGAGCAAGACTTGGACAGTGGGCCAGCCCAGGGGATTGCAGGGACAGAGCGTTAGGGGTGGCCTAGTGGGACGAACAAAACCGCGATTTCAAACAATTCCCGTGCGAACGGCCCGAGACGCTCTGTGGGGGAGGGGCATCCACCATTACCAAGGCAACCTGCCCCAACTGAGATACACGCCCATTGCTGACGCAGCCAGCCGTTGCCGAGGCAACCCATCCCTACTGAGATACACGCCCACTGCTGACGCAGCCTGCCGTTGCCAAGGCAACCCGCTACAACAGAGAGACTCCACCGCAGGGCGTGGCGGAGAACACAGCAGAACAGCGGAGCCAGGGCGAGCCTCACGACAGCAGGGCGGAGCCTCGGCAGGCAAACAGTGGCTAGTCTGCGTCCTAGCTGGGCAGGACCTCAATGGACATCCAAAAATAAAGCCCAAACCCCTCAACACAGAGCATTTGAGAAAAAAAAAGGGTTTTTTAATGACCTCTGTTGCTGCAGAATCAAACATAGCAGCCTAACAGCCCTGAATGAACAACAGAGCTCACAGCTCAGCAATTAAGCCCCTATAAAGTACAAACTGTCTCCTCAAGCAGCTCCCTGACCCCTCTATATCCAAAAGACTGACATTAGGCAGGCATCATCCTGGGACAAAGATAGCAGAAAAAGAAACTGGTAGCATCCCTCGCTGTGCCACAGCTGCTAGAGGTGCACCCCAGACAAGCAGGGTCTGGAGCGGACCTCAGCAGTCATACAGCGAAGGGGCTAGACTGGTAGAAGGAAAACCAAGCAACAGAAATACTTCATCATCAACATTCTGGGTGTCCACTCAGAGACCCAATCGAAAAGTCAGCAACTACGCAGACGACCAGCGGACAAATCCACAAAGATGGGAAGAAACCAGCGCAAAAAGGAGGAAAACACCCGAAACCAGAACACCTCGCTTCCTAGAAAGGACCAAAACTCCTCCCCAACAAGGGAACAAAGCTGGACGGAGAATGACTGTGACGAAATGACGGAATTAGACTTCAGAAGATGGATAATGAGAAACTTTTGTGAGCTAAAAGATCATATATTAAATCAATGCAAAGAAACTAAGAACCTTGAAAAAAGATTTGAAAAAAGATTCGAGGAAATGATAACAAGAATGGATAACTTAGAGAGGAATATGAATGAATTAAAGGAGCTGAAAAACACAATACGAGAACTTCGCGAAGCATGCACAAGTTTCAATAGCCGAATTGACCAAGCAGAAGAAAGAATATCTGAAGTCGAAGACCAACTCAATGAAATAAAACGAGAAACCAAGATTAGAGAAAAAAGCGCAAAAAGGAATGAACAAAGTCTCCAAGAAATGTGGGACTATGTGAAAAGACCTAACCTACATTTGATAGGTGTACCAGAAGGGGACGAAGAGAATGAATCCAAGCTGGAAAATACTCTTCAGGACATCATCCAGGAAAACTTCCCCCACCTAGCAAGACAGGCCAACACTCAATTGCAGGAAATACAGAGAACACCACAAAGATATTCCGCAAGAAGAGCAACCCCAAGGCACATCATCGTTAGATTCAACAGGGTTGAAATAAAGGAGAGAATACTAAGGGCAGCCAGAGAGAAAGGTCGGGTCACCCACAAAGGAAAGCCCATCAGACTCACAGCAGATCTCTCCGCAGAAACAATACAAGCCAGAAGAGAGTGGGGGCCAATATTCAACATTCTTAAAGAAAAGAACTTTCAACCCAGAATTTCATATCCAGCCAAACTGAGCTTCAGAAGTGAAGGAAAAATAAAATCCTTTGCGAACAAGCAAGTACTCAGAGATTTTGTCACCACCAGGCCTGCTTTACAAGAGCTCCTAAAAGAGGCACTACACATAGAAAGGATCAACCAGTACCAGCCATTCCAAAATCACACTGAATGCTAAAGAGCATCAACATAATGAAGAATCTACAACAACTAACAGGCAAAACAGCCACTTAGCATCAAAATGGCAGTATCAAATTCACACATAACAATATTAACCCTAAATGTAAATGGACTAACCGCACCAATCAAAAGACACAGACTGGCAAATTGGATAAAAATCCAAAACCCATCAGTGTGCTGTATCCAGGAAACCCATCTCACATGCAAGGATACACAAAGGCTCAAAATAAAGGGATGGAGGAAGATTTACCAAGCAAACGGACAGCAAAAAAAAGCAGGAGTTGCAATTCTCATCTCTGATAAAATAGACTTTAAAGCAACAAAGATCAAAAGAGACAAAGAAGGCCATTACATAATGGTAAAAGGATCGATACAACAAGAAGAGCTAACGATCCTAAACATATATGGACCCAATGCAGGAGCACCCAGATACATAAGGCAAGTTCTTAACGACTTACAAAAGGACTTAGACTCCCACACAATAATAGTGGGAGACTTTAACACTCCACTGTCAATACTAGACAGATCAACCAGACAGAAAATCAACAAGGATATCCAGGGCTTGAACTCAGACCTGGAGCAAGCAAACCTGATAGACATTTACAGAACTCTCCACCCCAAATCCACAGAATACACATTCTTCTCAGCACCACATCACACCTACTCTAAAACTGACCACATAATTGGAAGTAAAGCACTGCTCAACACATGCAAAACAACTGAAATCATAACAAACAGCCTCTCAGACCATAGTGCAATCAAGTTAGAACTCAGAATTCAGAAACCGACCCAGAACCGCACAGCTTCATGGAAACTGAACAACTGGCTCTTGAATGTTGACTGGGTAAACAATGAAATGAAGGCAGAAATAAAGAAGTTCTTCGAAACCAATGAGAACGAAGACACAACGTGCCAGAACCTCTGGGACACATTTAAAGCAGTCTCTAGAGGAAAATATATAGCAATAAGTGCCCATATGAGGAGAATGGAGAGATCCAAAATTGACACCCTATCATCAAAATTGAAAGAGCTAGAGGAGCAAGATCAAAAAAACTCAAAACCCAGCAGAAGACAAGAAATAACTAAGATCAGAGCTGAGCTGAAGGAGATTGAGACACGAAAAACCCTTCAAAAAATCAATAAATCCAAGAGCTGGTTTTTTGAAAAGATCAACAAAATAGACAGACCACTAGCCAGATTGATTAAAAAGAAAAGAGAGAACAACCAAATAGATGCAATAAAAAATGATAAAGGGGAAATCACCACAGATTCCACAGAAATTCAGACCATCATCAGAGAATATTACAAACAGCTCTATGCGCATAAACTAGTAAACCTGGAAGAAATGGATAAATTCCTGGACTCCTGTGTCCTCCCAAACCTAAACCAGGAGGAAGCTGAAACTATGAATAGACCAATAACAAGGTCTGAAGTTGAGGCAGCAATTAAGAGCCTACCACACAAAAAAAGCCCAGGTCCAGACGGGTTCACAGCCGAATTCTACCGGACACACAAGGAGGAGCTGGTACCATTTCTTCTAAAACTATTTCAAACAATCCAAAAAGAGGGAATCCTTCCCAAATCATTTTATGAGACCAACATCATTCTGATACCAAAACCCGGCAGAGACCCAACAAGAAAAGAAAACTTCAGGCCAATATCCATGATGAACATAGATGCAAAAATCTTCAATAAAATATTGGCAAGCCGATTGCAACAGCAAATCAAAAAACTTATTCATCATGATCAAGTAGGATTCATCCCGGGGATGCAAGGCTGGTTCAACATACGCAAGTCTATCAACGTAATTCACCACATAAACAGAACCAAAAACAAAA